TTGTTGTAATGTATTTTCGTAACTCTGTCCATACACGCACTGTTGTTGGCTCGCTGTTCATTGGCTGCACGTGCTTGTGATTGGCAGGAACAGTAGGTGTGTCTTACACCACGTGGTTACGTCACATGATTTTAGGTATATAGTACCTTGTTTTGCACAGTAGCAGTGTAGTCGAGTCGTGATTAGCAGAGGTAAGACAGAGACCAGTTCTTCAGTCGATTTCACTGACGAGTTTGACCCCGACTTATAGGGAGCGATTCAGAGAGCCCTTCTAGGAGCGAAAACGAGAGCCCGATAAGAAGCGTTATAGAGAGCCCTTCTAGGAGCGTTGTTAGAGAGCACGATTAGGAACATTATAGAGAACTCTGTTAGGTGCGAGAGGCGACGAGTGTTGGACGGGAATGATTTATTTTTGTATTGGAAGAATAATAAAGATAGTTGCTGATTAATCTGGTGTTAGTCTTTCTGAGCCAGCTGTTCCACACCTCTACAGTAGTGAGCCCTAACAGAACTAAAGGATAGAGCCGGGCCCACTCTACCACAGTAATCTGCTCTATCCAGAGATCCAGTTCACTACACTACTTTGCGACTAAAATGGCACTTGGTTCATTTTGGCGAGAAATAGGTCACATGGACAAATAACAACAACTTGGCAACAATGCATGCACTGCATACAAGTGTTGATGCTACAATTCAATTTTAAAATACTGTTTTATAATGAAAACAATCAATGTTTCGGCAGATATTTTGCTGTCATTTTCTGCTGTGTAACCCTCGCTAGCCTGGAGGTCGGGTGTTGGATCCCTGCATTGGCCGAGAAAGTTCACCCAGATTTTCCGGTGTGGTTCCCCCTTGTCAGTGATGTAGGACGGAAGGCCTGACAAGGACAGTTGTCTAGTCATTCGGATGAGATAAAAAAACAAGATCCTGTGTACATATTGGCGTGCACGTAAAAGATCCATTGACAGTTGGAATTCGATATAAGAGTAGGCCGTAGTGACGCTGTCCGGGCAAAATTTCCCTCATAGCACACTGTATGGCGTATGCCCGTCTTCATTAGACCAGTTCGGAGCAAAACAGTAGGACGTTCAATCCCATTTCATTTCCACAGAAACATTAATTGTCGGCCATTGATTAGCACTTTATTTTAAAACATCCAATAACTGCTAATCAATTTATTTTTCTTATTATATACCCTGGCACGTATTGCTCTTTCAAAAGTTAAGTCTTTCTACTCTAAAGCCAACATTCCCATGATAAGAAATACACATTCAAAGTTCCAAGACGATCCATTAAGAATTGTGGCTTGTAGACTACAAACAAACAAAAGATAGGTTGCCAGATAACGAAACATACGCCCCACAGCAGCTAAATCGTTCGGGCAGTCAACTTTTTTCGGTAATGAAACATTTATAATACACTAAAATCTGATTAAGAGCAACAACTCATGAAGTAATTATCAAAAAACCATTAGAATTTGTTTGGTTTTTATAAAGTTCTGCCCCATGCTAACGTTTTGGATACAAAACTTTTAATATCATGGATTTGTTCAAGTCATAAAAATTCATTGAAAATCAATATACTTGTTCCTCTCAAGATCTTAAACTCTGTGTATCAATCTGAAGCCAATTGGATGATAACTTTAGCCTTTAGAGCGGAAATCGTTGAAAATCAAGGACCATAACTCTGGTAGTAATTATCGAAAATCGCTGAAAACAAATAGGCTTCTTCGTCTCATGACATTAAACACTGTGTATAAATTTAAAGTCAATCGAATATTAACTCGATTGGTCCAAAATCAAAATTTGGCAAGATTAAACAACCTGTGTCTATCATCATAGGTGATGCCACTGTCACAACAACAATTAAGGTCAAGAACCTTGGAGTCTGGCTGGACAAACATCTTATAATGAAAGATCAAGTTTCACATATCACAAAAACTGCAAATCTGCATCTGCGAAACATCAGTAAAATCAGGAACTATCTAAGCCAAAATGCAGCAACTAAATTAATTCTGTCACCTGTAATCTCACGGATCGACTATTGTAACTCTCTTTTGGCAAACATCTCTCAGCAGCAATAGATGTCTCCAGATTCTGCAGAATACTGCAGCCAGAATAGCAACCAAGACAAAGAAAAATGACCATATTACACCTGTACTAAAATCTCTCCACTGGCTTCCCATATCCTCAAGAATAGACTTCAAACTCTCCCTGCTCGCCTACAAGTGTCTCCACAACCTTGCCCCAGTCTACCTATCAGAACTCCTTCCTCTCTACCAGCCACCAAGGTCACTTCGCTCACAGAACCAACTTCTCTTCACAGTGCCTCGCGTCCACTCAACATCCTTTGGAAAAAGATCCTTCTCTTACTCTGCATCTATTAAATGGAACTCTCTGCCACCCAACATCAAGTCCTGTCACAACTTCTCTACATTCAAGACTCAACTGAAGACTTTCCTCTTTAAACAAAACTTTGAATAGATAACTAAATTCTACAGCTACTTTCACATCTACACCGCGCACAGAGCACTCACTTGGGTGGATGTGGCGCATTATCAAATGCAATATATTATTATTATTATTATTATTATTATAACTTTGGCCTCTAGAGCGTCCACAAGATTTTTTCAAGTGATTGAGGGCCATAACTCGCAGTAATTATTGGAAATCGCTGAAAATCAATAGGCTTCTTCGCCTCAAGACCTTAAACACTGTGTATAAATTTAAGGTCAATCGGATATTAACTTTGGCCACAATTGCTTGTGGACAGCGGACTGACGGACCGATGAACGGGGGCGACGACAATATAAGACCATATTTCAATGTGGACGTATAACAAAACTGGGAGTGGCTCTGCCCCATGAGGGGGAGGGCTTTCACCAAAAGAGAGAGAGAAATGGGGTTTAATGTCCACTTAACACAAACTAAGTAATTTTGGGACTAACATATGGTTCAATTTTTATTCAATAATTTGCTCGTGTGTAGGGATCTTGAGCAGTGGCAGGAAACCAGAGGACCCGAAGGAAACCCACAAGATTGGACGCGCAAACCTACTCCTTGTCACGTACAATCAAGAAATCGAAACCAAGCCAGTGGACTCAATAACAGACCTTATGATACAGCATGCATGAGCTAACCATTCGGCCATCCATTAGATAAAGAGTTGGCAGGTCTCACTATAATTTTTAAAAACTAGACAATGTCAAGGGAATTGCGGAGTGCGGGTGACCCCCATACACCCAGGAAGATTTATTGTGATGGAATTTTCTAGCATTGATAATTATATTTTGAACAGAGGTTATGTTTTTAAATACAAGTTGTTATACAAGTTATAAATATTTACAAATGTCGACAAGTATTTGTATTGGAATACCGTAAGTAGTTTTAGACGAAATCAAAAGTTTTACTTTTCCGTGCGATTATCACAATGACTATATAATATGACTACTATTATTTAGCAGCAGATGATGTCACTCAAGAGTTTGGAACTGGGAGTTTTTTTTATCTCCATCCATATATAGTCGATGTGGCCGAGTGTAAGACCCAGGCCTGACTTCTGCAGAAAAAAAGTATTGACTTGTACCCCGAAAAAAATGGTATACCATAATAAAGATTAAACATAATAAATTTCATCAGTTTTTTTTGTTGTATTTGTCAAGCTGGAAATCTGAAATGTCTAGTTGAAAATCAGTTTAGCCTGACATGATGCTACCCGGGTTGGTATCTTGGCGAGGTTTGTGAATTTCTTACCGGGGTCGGTAGCTTGCTTACCAGGGTTGTACACAGGTTTGAATTTTTAACGGCACACTGTAAGAAAATATCTCACTAAAGAAGCCAGCTATTTGACTGATGAAATTCGAAACACTGCAATAAAGTAAGTTCATAGCTGTGTTTTTCTTTATTTAGTTTGAATCATTATATGTTTCTATGACTAGTCTTCGTCTTCGGTTGTCTGCTGTCTATGACAGACAAAATTTTGCAAAATTCAAATGTTTTTTATATATATTTAGCAAGGTGCTCCGCTATTTTTACATGTGTTTCACGGTGTGCCATTGGCAAAAAAAGGTTGAGAACCACTGGTTTAGATTGAAGTGCTAGTGTCCATAATTTTGCGAACTAGGATGCCTTGTGTTGGTTCGTAACATTGTTACTTGTCACAAGGGTGTAAGTCTAAATATAAATCCAAAGTTGGAACACTCAGGGGTAGAGAATTGTATAACAAAAATAAAGATAGGTTGCCAGGCAACAAAACATATGTCCAAAGCAGGTAAATTGTCCGAGCAGTCAACAAGGGTTGTCATATATTTATTCTCTTGTAGGTAATGGGGGGGGGGGGATATTTACAAAATAATTTCATACAGATCAGGTTATAATTTTTGTCGTTTGAGCATTCACCACGTCCAACAAGGTGAAACAAGGGCCATAACTCCAGAAGAAATTAATTGAAATTATTGAAAATAAATAGGCTTTTTCATCTCACTTATGTGAACAACATATATAAATTTTAAATCAATATACAACCACATAACCATGCGGGCGTATAAAATGGTTGGGTTACCCAAGTTTAATTTTATTGTTGATTCCTTAAAGTAGTATGGTTTTTAAGTGTTAAATACTGGGGTTCAAAATATTTAGGTACGAGTTGGTACCGAATAGTTTATTTATATGAGAATCAAGGTTTGGAGTAAAATGCCTTGAAAATCAGAAATGGGAAGCGACTTGTATGTGTCTCTCTTTTGTGGACCGCAGAGAGATTGTTTGTTGTATTAACTGGACGGGTAGGCCTGTTATCCTTCGGTTACATGTATGTGTCTTTGCTGAAAACGTGGGCGCATAAAAATTGTGATCTGTAGTGTGTCCACAAAAATAAATTGAACGGACGGACGGACAGATGTGGGCCATGATGATATAAGACCACATAAAAATGTTGGAGTAAAAAACAAATATTTTCCTGCCAGACCTTTTTCCAGCTTGTCTACATATTGTATAAATTCTTACCATTAACAGTTTTCAAAAACATTAATACTGTTATCACCAAACAATATGCTCCCTGTTCAGCTACACAAGCCATATTTGTTCTGTAGAAAATAAAGAACAAGCTTAATTTATAGATGCACAGGGTCCACAACTTATTTGCATATGAGGAGCAGCCATTTTGTTCGGCAGTTTAGGTCTGATTTTCAAGAAATTCAATCTCAATCATTATCAGAATGTAATAGTGATATATTCCATTGTTTTTTTAAATCGAATAAAAATTGTGGCATCTAAAGGGACCACAAGCTAAAAACACGATTTTCCGTACAACAGGGGCTATAATTCAGTAAGTTACGATCCAATATACACGAATATTGAAAGGAACCATAAAGATGGTCGTCACAGATCGTACTTCTGGACGTTGCTGTCCAAGTGCAGAGATTTATATCACCAACACGTCAGTTTTATCTGATCTTATATGTTACTGGGCAGGATAGATGTCCAGCCTTGAATTCTGGATACCACACCCACGCACCGTGACCTGATTTACCATAAAAAGAACCTTGCGTAACTCAGGTCAGCTGTTATGAATAATGACTCCACTAACAACTTCCGCATGGCTCTTAGTCATGTCAAGCTAGTGCCAATGTTTGACCACCTGTTAGTCATCTGATAAGATTGCTAATTGATTTCATGTATGGAGGGTGTTAAGTGATATTTCCTAAATAATATCATTTGTGTAACAGATATTACTCCAGAACTGCCAGTTACTGTATAAATTTGTCATTACATAATGGCCCCTAATCAGCTTAGACGACAAGGGTTGTCGCATATTTGTTCTTTTGTAGGTAATTGGGTGCTTTTGCAAGACAGTTTCATTCAGATCAGATTATGATTTGTGTCGTCTGATGGTTCCCAAGGTTCTACAAGCTGAAACAAGGGCCTGAACTCTGGAGGTAATTTACAGAAAATTTGACAAGCTTTTTTGTTTTACTAATTTAAATAATGCATATAAATTTCATACAGATCAGATGATAACTTTTGTCATTCGAACGTTCACAGGGTTCACAAAGTAAAACAAGGGCCATAACTCTAGAAATAATTGAAGGAAATTGCTGAAATTCAATAGACCCCTGTTTAACAAATTTGAATGATGCATATAAATTTCATGCATATCGGATGATAACTTTCATCAATCGAGCATGAACAAAGTTCAACAAAGTGAAACAAGAGCCATAACTCTAGAAGTAATCATTGCAAATGGCTGAAATTCAATAAGCTTTGTGGTTTCACTAATCTAAATGATGCATATCAATTTCATACAGATCAGATAATAACTTTTGGCGTTAGAATGTTCACAACAAGGTTCAACAAAGGATTCCTCTTTTTACTAATTTAAATGATGCATATCAATTTCATACAGATCGGCAGAAAACTTTTGATGTTAGAGCATTCACAAGGTCCATAACTTTAGAAGTGATTAACGGAAATTGCTGAAATCCAATAGGCTTCTTCGTTTCACTAAATTAAATAATATAAATTTCACAAAGATCAGGTCATAACTCTAGATGTAATAAACGGAAATTGCTGAAATTCAATAGGCGTCTTCGTTTCTCTAATTCAAATAATGAATATAAATTTCACAAAGATCGGATGATAACTTTTGGTGTTAGAGCGTTTACAAGGTTCAATAAAGTGAAACAAGGGGCATAACTCTAGACATAATAAATGGAAATTATTGAAATTAAATAGGCTTCTTCATCTCACTAATGTAAACAACATATCAATTTTAAAACAATTGGATGATAACTTTTGGCGTTAGAGCGTTTACAAGAAATTGTGGACAACGGACGGACGGACCGACAGATGGACGGAAGGACAGGGGCGACGGCAATATACATCCACATTTCCATGTGGGTGTATAAAATGATAGGCCTATATTTTTTTTGAGAAATAAATAATTGCCATTCAATCGAAACTCTATCGCTTATTTCGCCAAAACAACCGATTTAATATTAGACTAAAAATGGAAAAGATTGAATGTAAATCAATTTATATACATTCATATAAGGCGACCTCTAAAGCATCGCGGTGCTAGAGCAAAGCTGTTTTCTGGTAACACAAGAGCGTAACTTAAACTGTCGCAGACTGTTGGTTAAAAAAACAATTCAGACCGTGTGTGACAGTTTGAATTGACTCCCTGTGTGTGTTTGCTCCTGGGCACTTGCGCATGTCTGAAACTGTTGTTAGTGTTAACAACGAAGCTTTATCTACTTCCGGTGGCGTGAGATTGTTCCTGATCACTGATCAGTTCAGGGAAAAAGTATTACGTATTTGGTGTTAGAGTTTTGTCATTAATAAACATACTTGTTATCGTGATTAGCTGTTGTTTTAGTGATCAGTAGTTACACGATCAACGCATCTAAGTTGATTGGCTCAAAATTGATAGTTCTATCGTTCATGATTTGTTGCCGTTGTTGTTTTTTTTTGTTAGTGATTAGTTGTTAAACTTTTTGATGTTTTAATAATTAACTATTTTGTAGATTGAATATTGGCCTTTATATGATTGGGATTTCTCTGTATCATTGTAATTTTATTTTTAAAATTTTTACAACTTCACACTATAGCCTTTTTTTTGTATTATTACTCATATTAGGGGTTTAGCGTGACTTTAGCGTGAAATCTGACAGCCAACAGTTGAAATATAACCCACTTCAATCTCAGTTCTGAATTACTATTTTATTTAAATGTATTACTAGCAAATGTGTTGTAATAGTTTAATATCAATCTCAATATCTGTAAAGATTCAGACTAAAAAATTATCGAAATATAAGCAAATTTACCGCTCTGATGTATGGAAGCCTATAACTACCATTCATAATTTCTACTTTTCGCCTCTTCAGAACACGAAAGTCAAAAAGTCGAAAAGTAGAAGTTACGACAAAATGTGAGGCGACAACACGGTATACAAGCCAAAATCAACTCGAGTGGATGTTACCCCCCCCCCCATAGAACAATATATATTCAGCCTCTACACGCCAGTCTCATCCAAGGATTTCCCTTTTTAACGTTTTGCATGTACAATAGGCCTATTCTTAATTGCAGGTACCGTATGACCCAGAATCTGAATCCTCATAGAAATTTCAATTTTATTTGTAAGACATGCTTGCAATCATTAGAGAATTTTGGTGGCGGTACTGAAACGTCACTATTCGACTCGTTCTTAAAATAATAATATACAATCGGGAAAACCTGTATATTTTATATGCGGTATGAAACCACAGTAGGCCTAAATGAAATTCAATTATCAATGCACGTATTCTAATGTGACCTTGAAAGTAGAGACTACATCAACAGCACGACAGCAAGCAAAAATCATAGGTTCCTAATATCGCCTTCAATACTAGACTTTATCATACAGACTATTTTGTAGAAGCTGGGGTATCCGGAGAAAACCCACAAGTTTGGACAAGCGACCCTACTCCCTTGTCATGTTTAAGCGGGGAATCAAAACCACACGACTTGAATCAATGTCAGACCTTGTGATTTCACGCGCACGTGTTAAACCACTAGACCACCCAATCCTCATTTATGTTGTTGTATATTGTATATATCGGTACGGGAAATTTGTTTTATAATAGGCCTATATAATAAATTAAATTGTTGTAGACTAAGGTTGTTTTTTTTGGGGGGGGGGGGGTTATCAGACATTTTTGGCAGATAAAATATCCCAGTTGGCGGAAAAAAATATGAACATTTTTTTTATATAAAAATTATTATCCATTTTGACGGAAAAGAATGAAATACAGTGTGAGCCCTGATTGCACGTATTCAAATGCGAGCTGGAAAACTGAAACTACAACACTTCCAAGGCGAAAAGTCGCTAATAGCGTGGTGTGTTAACTTCCTAATTTCTACTTTTCGAGTTGCATTTTGGCTTGTATAGCGTGTTGGCGCCTTCTTACTGACATCAATAAATACAAAAATATGACTAAGTCGAAAGTCGACAAGACGGAATACAAGCCAAAATGCAAGTCGAAAATAAGAAATTAGGAAAAAACGAGGGCCGCTATTATCACTGTGTGTTATTTCTTAATTTCCTATTTTCAAGTTGATTTTGGCTTGTATACCGTGTTGTCGCCTCACATTTTGTCGTAACTTCTACTTTTAGACTTTCGCATTGTGAAAAGGCGAAAATAGAAATTATGAATGGTAGTTATAGGCTTCCATACTGATGCCACGCGATCAGAGATTTTCCATCAATGCGAATTGCTACGACTCACTTTACTTTATTGGTAAATCTGCGCCTTGGAAACTCGACACCCTCTCCTGTTATATACATGTACTCTTCAAAAAAAGTAGGGGATATTGAAATGCAAATACCTATGCAGGTTGTGATATGATAAATTGCCATGGATACTTGATATGCTTTGAGAGTATGTTCACAGATGAAGAATTTATCGCCCCAACAGAACAACTGAGCTGCACATGCGACACGCAATTTAGCCTCATACACGTGAGAGGAGTTCATTGTCAAATTTGACACTTCAAGGAAGGGTTGATGAAAACTGCCACATGCTGATTTATCCTATCCATGTTTGCTTTCCTATCGGTTCTTGCATAAAATTTACTTTTTAGCGTATCTTTGCTTTAGTGTGTTACACTTAATTTGCAATGAGACGTCTCCAACATGATAGATAATATTAATAATAATAATAATCATATTTGTATCGTGCAACTATTCATGATCAATCGCCTGGGGAATGCACTAGGCACTAGAAAATGTTCTCACTTTGGAGAGTTAATGATAGTGACTAAACAACCAAGTTTTCACTTTGGATTTAAAAACTGACACAGATTCACAATGTCGGATATTTTCTGGAAGTGTATTCCAAACAATTGATGCGCTGTATCGAAAAGTTCTGGATCCAAATGATTTCAAATTATTGGCAGGTATATCCAATAACAGTTTCCCTTCTGATCTTAATGATCCTTTAGGGTGATACTAAATTTGGAAGGTAACCTGGCGCGGATTTGTTTATCGATTGATAGGTTAATGTCGTAATGATAATATTTTAAAGTTGATCCTTTCTCGAACACATAG